TACCTATAATCAAGGCTTGGTCAGATTCCAACTTACTTAGCTTTAACGTGGATAAGACTGTAGCATTATCTTATAAAGGAGTCATGCAACCCTTGCTTTTGAATGAGAGCCAAATCAATATCGTAAATTTCGTGAAATTTCTAGGTATTCTCATTGAGAGTGATCTCAAATGGTCCTTGCATTCTGACTCCTTAAGCAAGAAACTAGCCTCAGCTTGCTTTGCAATAAGATCTGTTTCGAAGGAACTAAATTTATCTTCTGCCAAAATGGCATATTTCTTATTGTTCGAGTCCCATCTTCGATATTGGCTTCCATTTTGGGGTTCTAGTACAGCGACCCAATTTGATACTATTTTTAAGTTGCAAAAAAGAGCAATCCGTTATCTATTTGGTCTCAAACAAACAACTCATTGCAAGACCTACTTCAAAAATCACGGAATTTTGACGCTTCCCTCTTTATTTATTTTGGAAACGGTTTGTTTGATTCGAAAGCATCTAAACATTTTTCCCGATAGACCTGATCATGGCTACTCCATTAGAAATTCGGATTGTAACGTTTATTTGCAGATCCCGTCCACTCAGCTAGTAAAGAATTCTATTCTATATCGTGCAAAGAAACTTTATAATCACCTTCCAAGAGAAATTAATAAATCCGCAACATCCTTCATTAAGTTTCGTAAGGTGACAAAAATCTATCTCTCAGAAAGACCATATTATTCAGTTGACGAGTTTCTTAATGTATAACAAAGAAACAAAATTAGTATTGTTTATAATTACATTTGGGTGTCTCAAGCAGTTGCTACAATTTGCCTCATTTGTTGTTGTCTGTACAAATTATGTAGGTTATACAATAATTTTACTACTTTAAATTTGTGTTATTCTGTTTTTTACTATATTTGTTTTTGTTTTATACTTTTTGTACTATTTGACTGATTTATTTTTTAGCTTTGTCCATAAAATAGTTTAATAATTTTCAGTGACAATAAAGCATATTTCTATTCTATTCTATTCTATCATATTTCTGAATGAATTTCAGGTTGAAAAAGTCCTGCAAATACTGCAAGAATTCAAAAACACATACTTTTTCATGAAATGCCATCTGCATTTAAGTTACTCCGGGGCCAATAACTGTTGGAAAAACTACCACGTCTGTCTTTAATGGATTTCGTTTATTGGTACCTATTTACTTGTTATTTTTTTTTTATCAAGTTTATACAACCAAATATTTCTATATTTTTTTAAGCAACAAAACATTACTAGTTCATTTTTTCCTGTAAAACGATATACTGGACGTATGGCAGGCATTTTTTTTTACTTTGTGGCTGATTCAGTATAGATATCCAAAAACTAATTTTCCATTCGTGTTTCACGGACCAAAATTACGACGAAACCAAAATATTGAAAACATTAAGCCCCCTATTTTTATTTTGCCAATTAAAAGGTTAAACAAACTATTTTAAGCATTTAATAAACCAAAGTGGATCAAGCAAATAACTTTTTCGCAAAGAAAAGGGAAATCAAATACATAATAATAAAAACATCATTTAGATAAATAAATATTAATTTGTTGATTTTAATTTAGTTGAGAAACAAAACACAAATAAATGGACAGAAGTAAACTGAAAAACTATCATATATCATTTTTCTACAAAGAAAATTTAAATTTTTCAGTTTTAGTTGATAAAATATTAACGAGGTTAGTTATAATAAAGTCAGTGACATCAGTTGGGTTCACCAGTCTGAAATTTGAGGTGTTGTTGAACTCTGCGCCAAATAATATATAAGCAACACATAATTATTAGTATATTATGTTAGGATTAAAATTTAAAATTTAAAAATTGGTTAAGTAGCTCAGGAAATAATGCGACAATATTGTAAAATAGAAAATCAATCTGAAACTGATGAAACAATGAAACACAAAACATAAGAGCAGAAAGAAATATCACAAATAAATGGGACAAAAAGGGAGAAACATTTAATATGTTATGATTGGAGCTATGTAAAAGGCGATAGAAATTATGGGGAAAATCAAACAAATAAAAAAAAGTAAAGATAAAGAAAGAAAGAAAATTATAAATAGAACATGGAAAATGAAATAAAAGGTGTTAAGCAAATATGAAAACATCTGGAGTAAACAAGTTAAAAGGACAGGTTGCAGGTTTAAGGAAGAAAAGATGCTTAATGCATGGAGAGAATGTGATGGTGTAGATTGTATAAAGATAGAGGGGACATTCAGGATTGTAAGAACTATAGACTGATAAAGTTAATGTAACACAAAACAAAACATTAGGGAAAGACCCGTAGAGCAAATGTTAAAGAGAGCGACGTCGATAGGAGAAAAACAATTTGGGTTTATACAAGGAAGAAGACAACGGATGCCTTGTTTTCTTTAAGACAGGTGGCAAAGAAATACGGCGAGAAGAAAAGAGTTACAATTGGTATGTATAGTTCTTGAAAAGGTATATGACAAAGTACCCAGACAAGAGCTATGAAAAAAGCTATGCATGAGAGAAAAATGGGTTCCTGAGAAATACGTAAGGCTCATGAAGAATACGTGTAAGGGAGCGTACATCAAAGTCAGGACTTATATCGAGTTGATCGAAAGTTTCCAGTAGCAGTTGGTTTGTAATAAAGCTTTTCACCCAGTCCATATCTGTTTAATTTTGTTATGGATGTACCGATAGAAAAAAGAAAAAGCAGCTTTAAAACAGCTTAAGGATTATAAGGTTACAGGTCCAGACGAAATACTCATTGAACTTATTAAGGTAATGAGTAAAGTGAGCACAAAGAAGTTAACTGAACTGTTTATTGTCATATACGATTTAGGTAATATCTCAGAGGAATCGCTATTGTCAATATTTTTAACACTACCAAAAAACGATCTGCGAAAACGTGCGAAGATTTCCGACCTATCAGCCTTATGAGTCATGCACTTAAGATTTTTCTTGAAATCGTACACGCCAGAATTTACAAGAAATGCGAAAAAAAATGTCGGTAAAATGCAATTTGAATTTCGTAATTCTTTGGATACACGTAAAGCACTTTTTAGTCGCCAATAGAAGATGGTTGCCGCCCTACAAAGAGTATTTTTGGATTAAAAGGGCATTAGGAATATCATGAATTTATACTGGAACTATCGTTCTAAAGTCAAGGTCGAAGACCAGCTGACCAACAAAGTGAAGATCATGCGAGGAGTAAGGCAAGGCTGTGTGCTCTCACCAACTTTTTTTAATATATACTCTGAGGAAATTTTTACTGAAGCTCTCACAAACCTAGAGATGGGAATCCGAGTGAACGGTGAATACATCAATAATATCCCTTACGCCGATGACACTGTGTTACTAACAACCAGCCTAAATGATCTACGAGCCTTAGTAGGTGCTCCTATAGTGGGGTGCCCTATTTTTCCAGTGTTACTATATGAAATTAAAGACTGGACACTCATGCAATCCAAAGAAAAGCGGATTGAAGTATTTGAGATGTGAATCTACTGAAGGATACTCAAAATATCGTATGTTTACCACGAGAATAATGTTGAGGTTTTAAAGCGCATGACAAAAGAAAAAGAAAAAGACTTAATTTAGTGAAACAAAAATATCGAATCCTTCAACTCGTTTTGCAGGGTAAAGTATGTGGCAGAGGACCGGGACGCAGTCGTATCTCATGGTAAAAAAACCGACAATGGTTTGGGATGACCTCCGCAGAGCAGTCAACAAAACCATGATAGCCTTGATGATCGCCAACATCCGACAGCAACGAAAAAGTGGCAAAATTGTCGGAAAAAGCAACAGAAATATAAAACAAAGCATATGTACCGTCTAGTAGGCTCCAAACACGTCGAAAAAGCACCAAAAACATATATAAAAACGACTAATTAGAGCTTTAATTTTTAACTTTTAGACCATGCTTACATACGTCAAATGACATGCCCATCGGATGTAGTTAATACTTTTAACGTTTTTTCGATGATTTTTAGATAATTTTTGGACGTTTTTTCGATATTTCGATGATCTTTTAATGCTCTCGACTATTTTTCTACCACATTTGAGGGTTTTTTATGGGACTTTTTTCCGATCCTTCTCTAACACTTTCGACACATTTGTGATAACTGAGAAGTTAGCTACATGTCAGCAAAATGTCGACGTAAAGTTAGTCACATGTCAATTAAAATATGCAGCATTTCAAGCTTCGCAAAAGTGGCAGAAGGAGCCGACAGCGTCGAAAAGTGGCAAAATATATTTAATATATTTAAAAAAAGCGTCTAAACCGCTTCAAACGCGTCAAAAATGCACCAAAAACATGTAAAGATATGTGACCAACGCATTAAAAGTACGAATAAAGTGTAGAAAAAACATGAAAATGGCGAAAGAGCGTCAAAGCAATCAAAAAATCACCAAAAGTGTCGACAAAGCAACTCAAAAGTGTCGACAAAGATGACCAAAGTAGACCTGTTGCTGCTTAACGAGATCTTACAATCTCTTTGGACATTAGTTCTTCTTAGAAACTCATCATTTGGTAAATGGTCCCATCGATTAGATCTTAAAATTTTACAGCATTCTGAGACTCCATATTCCGATGATCACCACAACCATTCTGAGACACCACCATTTGGATGTATTTATCAAATTTAACGAAGGCATTTTTAGTCATTGCTAATCTAATCTTCACTAGCAGGTCAAGTCCCGTTTGCAATTTAATGTTTAAATAACCTGTAGACCTGATGCCTCTAATTATAAATTAACCAACAATTAAATTATGATTTACTTTTATGCATTTTTAAATAGTATTAATTGGATATAAAGCTTTTTTATACTGTACTAAATTGGCAATAAAAATTGCTCATTGCGATAAAATACAAAAGTATAAGACTGATTATTTATTAAAAACTAAAATTTTATGTAAATGCGTTGCGAAATATATAGCAAAATTCTTAAAATTCATGTTTTTCGTATCGCTTAGTATTACTTAGTAAGAATTTTAATACCTATGTATGCGGTACTGTAAAGAATCATAAATAATAACTGCGTATTAAAAATAGGTAAATAACGATTTATTAAAAATATGAAGAACTTGGTCACCAACAGTGTTACCGTTAGACATAATATAGGGTCTAGATTAATGTTCCTTTCGGCACTTTCAGGTAAGCTTCTTTTACAACAATTATACTTACTCACTCGATATTACGACTTTTATAAAACCATCAAGAAATCATTAATTAAATAAGTTTATGATCAATAATTGTTTTAAGTTCTGGTAAACAAAGATGCATATTGATTTTCTCATTAGATATTGATATCTGCGCCAATATGTGAAAGTATATAACTCAAATAGGTTATTCTTTTTCGAGCAGGTCTTGGACGAATTGTATCATCACCCTTGTAATTGTTTGATAGCGTAATCACCTCCAAGTAGTCACTAGTTTTAGGCTTATCGGCGTAGACTAGCGAACTTAGATATTCTCACAGAATAGTTTAGCGGTGTTAAATTGCACGACCTTGGAGCCCGCTTTACGGCCCCGAAACTTGAAACTATGCGGTTACTAAACATTTCCTTTAATAAATCAATTGTGGCACGAGATGTGTGACATGTTGCACAGCCTTGTTGAAACCACAGCTCCAGCACATCATGGTTGTTTAATTAAGGAGTGAAAAGTCAGTAATTATGGCTCTATAGCGATCATCATCGACTGTAACGTTTTTTTCCAGCCAGCATTGTTTTTTAAAAAGTACGGGCCAATGAGTTCACCACCCAGTGAAGCACACCAAACAGTCAGTTTGTCTAGATGTAATGGTTTCTTAACATACACCTGAGGATTATCTTCAGTTCAAATATGGCGGTTTTGTTTCTTCTTCTTAGGGCGACTGTCCGTTTCGAACGTTAGCCGTCATTCTGACTATGATGGCTTTGTTGGTTGCTATTATGAAATAGCTGTTTTAAGGTCGTTCTATATCATGCTCTTGGATTAGCAAGCTAGGATATTCTTCTTCGTGCTGGGGCCCTTTTTCCTTTAATTTTAGCTTGAAAAATACATTGGAATAGCTCGTATCTGTGTTCATCCTCCGCAGTAATTTTTCATTGGCGCCTTTGTCTGTCCATGGTATCTTTAGGATCCTTCTTTGTAACCATACCTTAAAATCCTGAAGTTTTGATAGAGTTTTTGCCTTCAATGTCCTCGTTTCTACTCCGTTTAAAAGCACCGAGTACATGTAACATTTAAGTAGCCTTATTTTTGTTTCTAGGATGAGGTGGTCATGACTCTTAAACACATAGCTCATAGTCAAGAACCTGTCAAATGTTTGTTGACTAGAAATTTGACCAAAAGTAAGCGTCTTCGCTAAACAAAATTTGCTTATGAAAATCGGGATTATCGGCATCTCTTTTTGGACCTATTCACTGCATCTACGTATTACTAGACGATCGTGTAGCTTCATTTCTGCACGAGTTAAATTGAATTTTGTAAACACGCACACCAGAATCTTTACAGCATCTCTACAGCAACAACAACTTCTTCTGTAAGCACTGTACGACGTCTCTGTGAATTCGTATTATCATTTAGAATAAACGTGGTGCGAAAATGTTCCACAGTTAATCAAATTAATTATTCTGGTAAACTTTTATGTTGATCATAAAATGGACAACACGTATTTCGAACAGAATCATGATGTTCAAAATAAACTTGCACAAAATGGATGCTTTGTTTAGACGTCAAGTCTATTTATGCTAAAATGCCAAACCAAACTAAACATAAATCAATATTGATAGCTGTTTAAAAAGTGTTGCCAACTTACATTTTTATTCCTCTAAAAAACACCCGATACAACTAGTCCCATTGTAAAAGTATGGCTAAAAAAAATAAATTAAAAATATTTTATATGTTATATATAAAAAATTATCAAAGTAAAAAGATATTTTTAAGTCGAGACATCCTTATTTATAACTTTTTGCATGATGTATATTTCTCTAAAAGCGGCCCATAAATAGAAAGTTTGAACCTATTGAAAACCTAACCATTACTTTAAACTATTAAAAAAGTAGAAACTTTCCCTTTTTTGAGTTTATTGAGTAACAAGCAATAAACAAATAACTTTTAGCTCTTGCAGAATCAAAAGCCTTAGCGGGCGAGTACGTGGTGTTAACGTTAGGCATGCATGTATCGGTTATTCTTCTTCTTCATGTACCATGTCTTCTTAGAATTTATTGAACCTAAAATTTATATAAAAAAAGTTATTTTAAGACACGGTCAAGCAGTTGGAAATGAATGAGTGGACCATATGGCAAAAAATTCACCTGTGATATCAGAAATTACAAACATTTCTCCTTTCAAGATCGTTTTTTTTTATCAGGAGTAAGGACAGGGAAATATAAAAAAAGGTCCAGAAGACCTCTAGAAAACATTACTTTTCTATTCATCTATGCTTACCAAAAAATATTCCCCATTTTAATATTTTACTTTGATAAAGTACATTCCCCATTTATTACCCAGCTAAAATTTAACTCAGCGTCTTTCCAGAGCATTGCATAGGATTGGAATTATAAAACTCTCTTTTGTCCGTGTAACTATTTTCAAATGCACTGATGAAAATGGACTGCTCTGACGTCACAATCTGCGGGGATTTTAAAACCCTTTCCAAACAATTCTAATTTGTATTTGTCCCATAAGAAATTGGTAATATTGGATTTTTTAATTGTTTGAAAAAATAAGGATTTTTATTTCTGAACATTTATTTTATAAAAGACCGTTAAACCATATTAATTATATCGACATTTTTGCTAATCTTTATTTGTCAATATACGGCTTTGTAGCGGTATTTGTGTCAAATATTTGAGAATTAAATTAAAATGCCAATGCCAAAACCAACAGTAACTGAATGGATAAAGGAATATTAAAAGTTAATATTCTGATAGGGTAAATTATTTTGTAAAGGCGGTAAGTTTTATATTACAAATTATCAATATCCAAAGGGTGATTTCTTAAAAATGTGAAAAAATTTATTTGAGTATCCTGATGAATAAAATCTTATTATTATGTGTTCGTATTTCTACAGAAATACAGGGTGTTAAAGTTTTAGGTATATTTTCGTTTTTGCAACTAATTGATGTTGTCAAAATTGGTGTTTGGGTGTATTTTGACATACAAAATTTGAATAGGACACGACCTACATTTTTTTTTACTTGTTGTAGAGCCATTTATTTGTACGTTCGTGAATTTAGTTATTAAGTTCTTCTTCTTAGGGTGTCTGTCCAAACGTTGGCGATAGTTTTGGCTATGATGACTTTGTTGGTTGCTATATGGAATAAGTGTATTGAGGTCTTTCTATACCATGCTCTCAGGTTAATAAGCCAGGATATTCTTCTCCGTCCTGGGGTCCTTTTTCCTTTAATTTTACTTTGCAAAATGCATTGGAGTAGCTCGTATCTGCCTTGATTTCTCATTATATGTCCCATTATATGGTCAACAAATTTGCGGGCACAATAAACGTCTCCAAGATGGACGATGGAACAATGCCATCGGAAAGTGGCGTCCATACAATGCAAAGAGATCAAGAGGCAGACCACAGATGAGGTGGAAAGATGACATCAGGAAACAAGGAGGTCCCACATGGCAGAGAACAGCTCAAGATAGGGAAAGATGGAGAGAACTGGGGGAGACCTATATCCAACAATGGAAGGATGGAGAATAGGTTCAAAAAAATGGTCAACAATACAACAATGGTCTATAGTATTTTCAGGATCTTTCTGTATAATTAACATCATTTAATAACCAACGTTATTAATTTAGAAAACAAATTTTTGCATCAGTTTATGGTAGAAAAAGTATAAGTGATAAATCCTCAAAGTCTTTATGAAGAACCATTCTCCAAATGGTTTAATTTAAACCTATCTCTGCACGTTATTTTAAATTAGGGAATCTATCACGTTGGCCATAACTAAACGATGGCTGGATCCTCATTCTGATCCACGGTATACCCTCACGTCAGTTGCTTTCATCTGGGAAGTTTGACGTTGGATTACATAGTCGATTATCGAGCGCACATTTCTAGTAGGTTGGAGCCATGTAAAGTTGTGGATGTCTCTATGTTGAAAATATCCATTCATAATTTTGAGAGACATTATTTCACAAAAATCTCTAAGACGCATTCCGTTGTCATTGGTTATTTGTTCCCCATATCTTCTTCTTCTTCTACGGCACTACAGCCCAAAATGAGCCTTGGCCTCCTTTATTTTTTGCCTCCACCCTTGTCTGTCTGTGGCTGCTCTTCTCCATACACGGACTCCTAACACGGACTCCCCATATCTTCCTATTTTTTATTTCCGCGTATGTACTTCATATTCAAAACAAAAGTAATAAAATTTGTCTAAATTATCTGAAATATGATGTAGATAAAAACAAAAATAAACATATTCTTTAACATCCTTCATCTCTGTAATAAAGCATTTAGAGTACATATTTACTGTATTTTTTAAGGCCACCAAATTGAGCATGAAACACCCAGTATTGATTCTCTAAGGTACTTTAAAGAAGCTTATTACGTACATAGATGATATGATTGACAACAGTTTTTTTATCAAATTGTAACAATCTATTTTTTCGGCTCGTATAATTTTTTTTTTAAATTGTTTGGATTATTTTGAACAAAATAGGTTACAAAATAAGAAACAAAGAATTTAAAACTGAGAAAAATGCAAAATTACGATTTTCAAGACTCAAAAACACAATTAAAAAATATTGTTTTTCAATTCACCATTAACATTAATTCAAGATCAAACCTTGTTTTATTATTTCCCGATTAATATTTTTGGCCTCACTCCTCTAAGGGGAAAATTCCCTTATCCCAGACACCTACGGTATCAAAAGGATTGAGCTCTGGTGGAACTCTTTCTGTGTTATCGAGCCCTAGGTGACTTGGTATGTTGGAGTATCTCCCAAAAATTTTCGTACATATCTGGACGTCGCGAGAAGTACAGATTTCTGCATGATCTTATTAAGATGTTCATTTAGACTCAGCTGTCTTATGTTCGCTAGGAGATTTTTGGTGATGGAGTTCTAATAGGTACTGTCTGGGTAGTTTCCATTCTCCATTGTTGCCTGATTTGTATTTCTAGATCTCTGTATTTGGCGATTTTTTTGTTTAACAAGCAAATTATTGGTGTTAGGTACCGCCACGTCAATAAGTGTTGATGGTCGGTTTGGAGAAGTCCCAGCTTGCCTGTTAGGTTTTGGTGGATAATCTTTTTTACTGAGTCATGGCATTCTTTATAATCAGTACCGACAAACGCCTGGCAGCTGCTAGCGGTAAGGTGTTGGATAATTTCTTGGGCTTGGCATTCATATCGGCATTAGTTATTTTGGACTTGACGATCTTCAAAAATATATTTTAGGTACTTTTTACTTGGAGTAACCTGATCTTAACTGGCAAGTAGAAAAACCCTTAATCTCGGAAAACATCTTTCCTAATGTCAACTAATAGTTCGACGCTGTATTGTCAACATATTCTTTGCTGATCTCATAGAAATGTCGCCCACGCCTAGAGGTTTACCTATCCAGGTGCGCATTTTTTCTTGCTTAGTCAGGTGGATTATGCCTATTTTTTGTTTCCTTAGTTGAAGTGGCATTGTATCGTCTACTGCGCAAATTTCTTGATGTAAAGTAGATATCTCAGCCTGTACCTGAAAATAAGTTCTTAAATCAGCAATCTGTTTATCCAGTTGCTCACCTATGATAAGTCCATAAGTCCTTTTCTCCCTTGATATCTCGGTAATGTTGTTCTCTCTACTGTACTGCGTGGATGGTGTTTTTGTCTATTTATGAGAAGTGTTTTACTTTGTGGTGGAGACTTTCTATAGTCGTTTTGACCACTTGATAATACCAAATGGGTAGTCAAGCGCAGAACAGGCTTATGTATTTAATGCCTTAAAAACAAATTTATGCTTAGTTTAGTTTTTATTAGTTTATGGTAAATTTTTCGCGCTTGCTGTACTCCGAGATATTTGTACATATTATTTTCACCCATTGCCTCGATGTTTTATGCTTCTTGTATATCGAAACATCCAAGCCAATCTTTTGCTCTGAATATATTTTGTATAAAACAATGATTGTCTCCAAAACATCCATCCATCCACCCATGGCTTTAAACGTGATTGGTAACATTATCGAAAATGTCGAGAAATTTCGATATCTAGGGTGCTGGATAAGGAAAGATATAGATCCAGACATAGAAATAAAATCGCGAATTGAACAAGCAAGAAATGTCTTTTTAAAAATGAAACAAATATTCACGTCCCAAACGTCACGTTTGGAAAGTTTTGAAATGTGGTTATTTCGAAGGATGCTGAAAGTTCCCTGGACAGCGCATATGAGCAACGAGCAGGTCCTACACAAGATGGGTACCAACAGAGAACTCTTAAAAATAATGAAAACACGGAAAACCTCATATTTGGGACAGATATACAGAAATGAGAAATACCAGCTACTGCAGCTTCTTATAGAGGGGAAGGTAGAATAAAAACGTGGTCCTGGTAGACGGCAGGCGTCCTGGTTGAAGAACATTCGTGAGTGGACTGGTTTGGATTCTCAATCTTTACTAAGAAAAGCCAGGGACAGAAATGATTTTGCTGAGGTTATCGCCAACCTTCATTGAAGACGGCACCCAAAGAAGAAGAAGATATTTTGTATGTGGCACTTGTGTACTTGTCGAAAGTGCATACTAATATCATGTCTACAGAAATTTTTTTCCTTGAAAAAGGCCCCAGTTAATTGGAATATTTTTAATTCCGATATTATTTTCACCAATTATTTGAAGGTGATTTTAGTCTTTCACTTCGTCATTATAGTATTTACAAAAGATTATATGATTATCGACTTTATATATTTTTAATATATCGATAAACCACTCATGCAGCACTGAATCAAAAGCCTTCTTGTAGTCTCATTTCGTTAAGATTATTTATTTTATTAATTTAATTTTTAATTTTTATTTTATACTTGTTTTACATTTTTTGTAATAATTTTATGTTAATGGATTATTATTTTGTTCTAGCCGATTTACTTCTAGTAACTGTTGGAGGTCTTATGGTATGGGGATCGTCAGCAATACCGATTTTATCATCGAAGAATAATAACCCATTGGATGAACCTATCACGTCTTTAGAAATGTCCATTATACTATCAGCTCCAGCATTTGGGGCGCTAATATCTTTAAACTTTATGGCGTACATTTCGGATCTGATAGGTAGAAGGAAGAGTTTATTATTTTTATCAATCTCTTTTGTCATTTGTTTATGTGGTATTGCATTTGCAAAAAATATTTATATGTATTATTTTTTCTTTTTGATAACGGGCTTTAATTTTTCTGGTTCATGCGTTAATGTTTCTACGTACAACAGTGAAATTGTAAATGATGAAAACAGAGCTTGGCTTGGTTGTATTCTGGGACTAAGTTTTCCAGTTGGGAATCTTATTGGTTTCATTCTCGGTACATATTTGACTAGTATTACACAATATACATTAGCTGTTGGTTTTCCTGTGTATATTCATATATTACTACAATACGTTATGGTTGAATCACCGATGTATCTGGTATGCAAAAACAAGAAAACAGATGCAATTATTGCATTGGAAAAGCTTAGACATTACGACAAGCCCATAGATAGTGAAATTGAATATAATTGCATGGAAAAACTAAATTTAAAATCTCTGAATAAAAATGGAAAACTTTTTGATATATTTAGCAACCATCTGGCCAATAAAGCCTTTATTATTAGTCTTATCTTAAGTTTTACGCAACAATCCTGCGGCATGAGTATTGTAATGAATTATGCAGTTCCAATATTTAACGAAGCTGGTTCCTTGTTATCGGGTAATTATATAAGTCTTTTACTTGGTGTTTTACAGGTAGTGGTTTATTTTGCAGTGATGTTAAATATTAATATGCTAGGAAGGAGACCTTTATTGCTTTTGTCATCGGTAAGTTGTGCAATTTCTACAAGTGTGTTAGCAATATATTTCTACTTAAAACAATTTAACCCAGCAGCTGCTGCTTCGATAACTGTGATTCCAGTTATTAGTGCAATGGCATTTGTTTTTTCATATTCTGCTGGTTTAGGACCGATTACGTTGTCATATCTTGGGGAACTATTTCCTAACGAACTTAGAGCTACAGCTGTAGCTTCTGTATTAGTTTTAGATGCTGTAGTAGCTTTAACATTAAACTTCACTTTCCCGTTGCTGGTTGAGTCATTCGGAATATATATGTGCATGTCGATATATAGCTTGTCAGCCTTTACTGGATTTATATTAATGACTAAATTTTTACCGGAAACAAGGGGTAAGAGTTTTCTTAAAATACAGGAGAGTTTAAAAAATATATGATGATAAATTCGTTGTACAAAATAAAGACTTAATTTCATCTTCTACTTTACTGGAGGTTGGTTATCATTATAACTATTTGTATTTTATTGACAGCTACTTAAAATAGGAGCGATTAATTACAGGGACTCATTCCTCAACTGCGCATGTGCAATCTTTAAAATGACATCAAAAGTGACAACGATGGGCATGGACAATCTCCAACCTAAAAAAATCTGAGCAAGTTTATAAAAAACGATTAGGAATAAAAATAGGAAATTTTACAATATTTCTACAGGTACATAGTTGTTATATTCATAACTAAAATATAGAGAATAAATAACTTTCACTCTGAGTAATAAGAAAGAAAATCACATTTACCTAATGTATTTGACGACTTTGATATTAACCGTCCAAGATTGTTTATTTTGTTGTATTAGCTTATGGAGATTGTTAACTTTGCACCATATAGTTTAAAATATTTAACGTAATACACGTTTGTGAGTGAAGATAATGATTATAATAAATTATTATATAAGTATTATTATAAACTTAAATTTATTTATTGTTGTTAAAAGTAAACAAATTATTAATGAACTAAATTTAAATGACATATTACGGTTATATACGGTAAAATAAACTTCATTAATGTAGGAGTCCTTTCGATTTGAAAAAAAAAGCTACTGGAAATCTTCCAGACAGTTATTGAAATGCACATTTTCTTCACATTGCATCGCCGTAGAAAGCTTAGACCGATTTGAGACAATTTTACCACATTCAAAACAGTTCACTGACGTATTTACTAATTACGTAAATAGGGAACTATTCAAAACAATTTTTAGTCGACAAGGCAAGATACCGCTTAACATTTTCATTTGAAGGTTCGAAATATTTCGAAAGCAGTCGTTTCGCACATGCGCAGTTGACGGATCGGGTCCCTGTAATTAATCGCTCCTCTCAAAATGGTCTACTTTTTATGATATTTTCATTATATACCGGTAGCTTCTGATTTTAAATACTTCCAACTTGAGTACATGTTCTATTTTAGTTCCAGCTTTTCGTTATATCTTCTTCCTATTCATGTGCCATATCCTCTAAGAAGGTTGGCAACCATCATGGCAATTCGCATTTTCGATACGGCTGCTATAAAGAGGTCATCAGAAGTGTAGTTAAACCAAACTCTTAAATTGTTTAACCTGGATATGCGTCTTCTTTCGCAACTCGTTCTACCCTGTATTCTTCATTGCATTATTAATTGCAACAAGTTATAATGCTCGCCCCTCATAATATGTCCCAGATATTGCATTTTTCTGGCTTAAATTGTATTTTAAACCTCTTTATCTTTTCCCATTCTTCTTAACACCTCGACATTCGTGACTCTATTCACCCAACTTATTCTTAATATCCATCTGTAGGCCCATAACTCGAAGGCTTCTAATCTGTCTGAAACATATTTCTTTAATATACAAACCTTAAACCCATAAATTAATATGCAGAACAAGTAGCATCTCAGAAGTCTTATCTTTTAAGAAATTGAAATATCTCTACTGGAGAGTACTTTTTTTAGTTTGTTGAAAGAATTTCTTGCCTGTCCTATTCTTGCCATAATCTCTTCTACATACTCATTATTTTCGGTAATTATTGTACCTAGATATTTAAATTTTTCAACTTTTTTATTTTGTTCTCCATGTATTGTTATGTTTTCTTGGCGCTGTTCGGCTTTTGTATTTTACCATAAATTCTGTCTTATTTATGTTTAGTGATAGTCCGTCTACTTCACTGACTTTTACCACTTTGTCAACCATTTGTTGTAAATCCTCAAGACATTCCGCCAATAAAATAGTGTCGTACATTATTGATTGGTCGGCCATTTACGTTTATTTCCATAGGTAGTTCTTTTAGTGCTTCCTGTATTATTTTCTCTGAATACAAATTGAACAAAGTAGGAGACATGACACAGATTTGCCTGACGCCCCTCTCAATCTGTATTTCATTTGAAAAGACCTTGTCCTCTTTTACTACAGTGATCTGATTATAATATGTACCGCTAATGTCTCTCATATCTTAGTTTTTATTTTCAAGTAATTCAATAATACGGTTGTGTCTGACCTTATTAAAGGCTTTATTATAATCCAAGACCCACATATACATATACTGGTTGATTAACATCCATCACCTTTGCACAAGTACATTTACAGCGAACAGGGCTTTCCTCGTTCCCAGTGCATTTCTAATTAAAAATTGTGTCACTTATGTCCTCCTCAAGTTTTTTGTGTATTTTCCGGTGTATAATTTTTATTATACATATTATAATATTTTGAGCGCATGAATCATTAAACTTATTATCCGGTGGTCTTGGCATTCTCTTACAATTGGTTCTTTTGGTAGTGTTATGAATATTGACATCAGCCAATCTCTGGGAATGATTCCTGTACTGTATATTCTATTGAATAAGTCGACCAATATTCCAATTTGCTGTTCTTCTATTAACTGTAGTGTGTCTATAGGTATTTCGTCAGGATGTGTTGCCTTGTTGTTCCATACAATATACCTGTTTCGTTCTATACAATAAAGTAAAAATTACATAACACATTAGTGCTTTTATCTGCAGTTTCATAGCTAGGTCACGATTAGTGAATATTATTACCATATTTATAAAATTCTGGTCTAAAAAATTTCAATTTTATTGAAAGAGTGGCCATTAAACTTAAGGCAAAATATATGGTTCATACGAGATTGTATACCTTCACATAATACGAGGGCAGTAAAGACATTCTTAAATACCAACTTTCCTGAACGCTGGATTGGTCGAGGTACCCATTTATCTTGGCTCTCACGTAGTCCAGATTTTAATGCTCTCGCTTTTGGTGTATGGAATGCAATGAAACAGCATGTGTACAAGAATCCCTGTTTTAACCGCATTAGCCATGTCCGTTGTCTGACTTGGCTTCGCAACCAGTGCGATATCATCGGCATAAGCTACAAGAGTACATCCCCTGCGTAACTAAAGAGGTTACTTCTGTAATGGCGTCTATGGTAGACGTTTTGGCCCTAAAACCATATTGACGGTCTTTTAGCGCATGCTTTTCTTCTAGTTCTCACTTAAGGCGCCTTTTTTACTGTCTCCAGCATGACTCCATCTATGCCAGGTGCCTTTCGGATCTTCATCCGTCCAATAGCCTGTCCCTAAAAACACTTTGTGTTTGTAAATGAAATGTATTTTATTTTGATTTTAATTTAATTTAAATAAATCTAAATTTTTTCATGTAAAATCCTATAAACACTTTATTAATTATCCTGTTGACCTCCTTGTTCTTCTTTTTATATAGGCATGACTCTAACTGTTTTCTAGGTGCCTTCAGTAAGTTGTTGTTCCATCTTTTTCGTGTTTTTCCTACTGATCGTCTTCCTATTGGACAACCGTCTCTTGCCGTATTTACTACTCTAATTGTTGTCATTTGGCTTGTATGATCGTTCTATTCTCCTCTTTTATTCCTTACCGAGTTCTTGACGATCTCCACCTATCATCTACGTCGTATATCTGTACTTCTAGCTCTGTCTCATAGTGGCTTACCATCAATTTTTTATTTTTTACCAAAAATTTGTTTTTATTCCTGTTCTTTCTAACACCTTTTTTGTCCTCTCTGTGTCAGCTCTTATTTCTGCCGCGTATGTCATTATTGATCTGATGACAGTTTTGTAAATTCTGCCTTTGGTTTCTTTCATGATATTTTTATTTCGTTATATTGTTTCATTTAGGCTCAGGCTGCTCTTTTTGCTTCATTCACATGATCTTCCACTTCGGTTTCGAGCTTTCGGTAACTAGATAATGTGATGTCTAGATATTTAAACTCTATCACTTTTTCTATTATCTGACCTTTCAGCTCCAATTTACATCTTAGTAACCATACATTTTGTCTTTTTTGGAGAAATTGACATGTTAAATTTTCTGCCGGTTATAATATTGGTGCAGCATACGTTGTAAATCGTCTTCATTTTGAAAGAGTAGTATTGCGTCGTCTGCATAGCAGATTATTTAAAGTTTTATTTTTTACGGATGCATTTTAAAAAAAATGCATCCGAATACTGAATTCATTACTGTGGTCTAATAAAATAAAGATGCATACCAAACTTCGCGTATACAGAGCAATTGTAGAACCAATTACCACGTATGGTGCCGAATGTTGGACGATGACAAAGAATGAACGAGATAAAGTAGACGTTGTGGAAATGGATTATCTTAGAAGGTCATGTCGAGTATCGAGAATGGAAAGAATCAGGAATGAGGAAATACGAAACCGTACAGGAATTAGAGATACTCTTTCAGATAGAATACAAGGAAGGCAATTACAATGGTATGGTCACGTGATGAGAATGGAGGAGGAGCGGTGGCCAAAGAAAGCCTTAATGTATGTTCCGCCAGAAAGAAGGAAAAGGGGAAGACCACCAAATTCCTGGAGAAGAGAAATTACAAAAACAATGCAATCTAGAGGCTTAGAAGAGGGAGATTGGAGAGATAGGAAAAGATGGAGGCTGAAATGCGGGAAGCGGCAATCGCCGTAGGACCACCGTTATATGATGATATATTTTTTACCATTTGGCATCCTTTTTTAGTTCTTACTTTTTTTATTATTTCGTCCATAATCAGGTTGAACAATAGAGGACTTAGGGAATCTCCCTGTCTTATTCCATTGCCAGCTTCAATAGGGTCGGTTAGTTCTTCTTCTACTTTTAGTTTTATTGTGTTGTTTTGGTAGATATTTTCGATCATTTTAATTATTGCTAGAGGTATCTCTCTTGCATACAGTAAGTTGATAACGTCTTTTAATTTGGCCCCGTCATTTGACCCGATATATTATTTTTACTTTATTATTTTAGAATCTATTAACTTAAGTCAAATATTTTTTATACCGAAATTTAGAATATATTTTACACCAAAATTCTCGGGTATGTGAGAAAGGAGAGGTGGATCTATAGTTGTCGCATTTATGAAAACTGTATTTTTTATATTTTGACCTTAATGT